TTTCACCTACATAGAATTGCCAGCACAGCCTCTTACTGAGTATAGATGAGCCCCTGGGAGTTAAGTGAGCAAGACCACTTCTAGCTTCTTATAGCCTCTGAAACACTGCCACTCACATAACTCCTTGTCATCCTCATGCTAGTTTCATAGTTTCACATTAGGTAGCAAGGACTATTACCTCCATTTTATAGTTGAAAAACTCAAAGGTACATAGAGGTAAACTGACATGTTCAAGGTTACAGCTAAAAATTAGCTTAGTTAGAGTGTGAATCAATCACAACATTGATCAGACAACTTTCCTAAAGGTGGTCTGGAGAAATGACATGGCTTTCAAAAATGTCTGTTATTTTCACACAGTATTTAACATTCACAAGACTGTAAGTACAGTCTTCACAGGTCTGCCTTTAGTTCTGTTTCCATAACATACTTCAGGAAGATGTCACTTCCAAATTTTTCATGAATAAAATCACAACAGCACTGTGGAGGAAACGTTTGCCTTTTTAGGGTTGAGAGTCTGTGATTCCAAGGCTCTTTAAGGGTCCCTGGGAGTTTACAACTGAGAAAATAGGTATTTCTCTGATGTGGAGAAAGAAGAACATATGGTTACTTGCCAAACTCTTCCTGGAGTTTTTCTCTGCTGCTGCCAGGAGTGATCCAGAAATAATGTACTGTAAAAAGAGAAGTAATGGATGAAGGGGTGTGGGCGAGGTAGGAGAAAGGGGAAAGAGGGGGGTCATTTCTTAACATCGAGAGCTGGTCAGAAAGAAGCCATCTACAGTTTCAGCCACTTTCACTAAACTACCCACCCATTTTTATCAGGTTCATGAATTTTTCAGCAGTCATGTTTCTCCTTTTTCAGGCTCAAATATATTCAATTCATGCCTTTTACTCGACCCTCTGGGGTGCTATGACTAGGAATACAATAAGGCCAAAGAAACAGAACCCCTATTTCCTTGTCAATTAATACTCACAGTGTGAATTTAAAGGTTTTATTTTTAGTTTTTCTTTCTTTTTACTTTGAATTTGTGGAAATGCTCTTTGGGAGTCACAGTGATTTAGATGACTTTGATGCCAACAAAGAATGAGTCGATGTAGAATACTTGCCCTTAATGTCATAGACACACGTTGGCTGCTACAGGAAGTGACAATTATTTCTCTTCTTCCTTTTCTAATGTTTAAGTGGCAGAGTGGAGAAAACTCTTGTTCTAACCCTTCTCTCCTTGTTCTGAAAATTTCAATCCTGGACTCATCTTTATAGTAGCAACTATGAAAAGTGTCATGGGGAAAATAAACATCACTGCCCCATGCCACACCCAGACAGGGTTACAAGTTTAGAAAACTTGCACATGAAACAGCCATAGTAACTAAACAGAATTGTATGGTAGAAGGAGCAGGAGGGAGAAAGTGGGATGTTCCCACTCCCTCTTGCATTCCAAAACATCATACCATACCGTCCAAATATCCGGTGACTCCCTCCCCACCAAAATTCACTGTGGAGGGGTCCGGCTTTAAACAATCCCTATGTAGATCCATGAAGTACATCTTTCTCTGAATTCACAAGGCATGATCACTGACTCTTAACCATGCTCAATTTAGTCGACCTCTCTTCCTACTGAGTTATTTTAACTCGGTGACCTATTTCCTACCCATATATTTCTCTCTCCATAATCTGGCATACCCCTGTGGAGCTTTTTAACATTTTTGTCTTTACCATTCCCCAAATGGTTGCTACTTTTTTTACTCACCATAATGCCTCCCCAGAGCGGGTACCACACAGTCACACAGATGGGTGCATATTCCCCAGTGGGGATCATCAGGAGACCCCCCAGGGCAATGTGGAAGAGCCCATTCATGATCTGGACAGCCTGGGGAGAGAAGGGAGGCACTGGAGGATGAACTGCATTCATCATTGTTGGAAGGGGCAGAGGCAAGATTGGAAGCCCTGGCTCCCAACTTGGAGCCATGCAAAGTGCCTAAAGGAAGCAGTGGAGGTGCCAGGAGCTTTGTCTTTTTCTTGTTCAGATCAATTTTCCCCACCACTGGGGGCATTTCCAAAGAGCAGGCATGCCTGGGATTCAGACAATGAACTGGAATGGGAGACCGCTAGGCATCCATGCCCCAAAGCCAAAAGGTGACATAAGGTCACCCTGAGCTGATCCAGGTGATAACTCCTCAGTCACACCACCAATTTGGCCTACTGTGTCAGACATAAAGAAGACATCAGGTTGGATGACAACCCTTAAGTTGAATTGAATTCTGTACGTGGCCTATAGCATCAGCTTCCATAAGCCAGAGCATCCCTGGGATGTGGGAGGGAGGGCACCTGACTTACCCCAAATGCCTTAGATTCCCTCATGAAGAAGCTTTGTGTGGGGCCCAGTGGTGTAGACATCCTCCTGAGGGTCACTTTTTGAACAGGTTGCACAGCAATAGGGCCTTTCATAGGCTCTGCTGGGAATGTCCCATTCACTGAATTTCTGGGCGTTGTCATTTTGCTGTCAAAACTCCTAAAAATAACACAATAAAGGGACGAGAGTAAGAACAAGATTTTTAGCAATCTTACCTTTTGTCATGTATCTGAATGCTTCTTTCAGTGTTCCCTCCATGGGCGTCATCGAGGGTAGACGTGGCTTCTTCCTGGTGGCCTCGAGTCTGAGACAAGTCTTACTGCCGAATGGTATTGAAGAAATACATGTATGAAAAGCACCCATGTCTAAGTAAATATTAGTTGTTTGGTTGCTATTCTTGTTCTTCTCACCTTTTTGAGCATTAGTTTCTATTTTATCCATCTGTAAAGTCAGAACAATACCCCTCTCAAAGATATTGTAAGAAATAAGTTAACATATGTAATTGTGCCCAGTACACAGGAGGAGGTAGTGAATGCTATTTGTTAGCGTTCATGATTTATCCATTTCTGAAGTGAGAGGGCGATTAACAAGGTCCTTTCCAGCTCTGACATTTTAAGACTCTGTTCAGTCTTCTACATCTTGGGTTTCTTTTGGCATTCATTTGTTTATGTCAACCATTTATGTCAATTCTATTGGTTTTTCCTGCGGCCTGGAAATCCCTCTTTGGGGACACATCTTTGGTCGTGTCTTTATTGATTGTAAGTCATATAAGGGCCCTTGGATGTCAAGACTGACCATCCAGGTTGCCTACCTTACGAAAGTCAGTGCCAAATCCTAGCCATTAGATCACAGGTTGAAGTGTATCTTACTAAAGTCAATCAGAGCTGGGTAGCTGCAGGTGTGCTGTCAGGCAGGTGGCTGGGAGTCACTCACATTTATACCTACTTTAGAGTTAAAAAGAAATTTCGCATATGGCATTTCATCTGAGCTTCACAGAATAGGCAAGGGATGAATCGCTGCTTCATCCCTTGCCTATTTCCTCCCTTCATCCCCCGAGGAAACAAGGGCACAGAAAAGTTAGGTAACTTGGAACAATTTACATAATTATTCAAGATTTAAAATGAGGACTCAGACTACTTTGTCTCATGTGGGGAACAGGAATTCAGCCTTTCCCTTGTGAACCCTTTTCCTTCAAATATTTGGACCGTTTGGATGACTATAAATCAATTAAAAACAGATCATCTGTCTGGGGTATGGGGTAGAGAGAAGAGAAGAGGCTTTGACAGGGTGTTTCTCACTTGATTTTGCCCCTGCCCTATATAGCCAGATGTCCTGTGGTCCTGGGGATCTGCTTTGTACCAAAACCACCACACGAGACCACCAACAAAAAGCGATATATCAATATATCACACTAAAGAGTTTGCAAACTGATTCTGGTCATCAGGAAGAATTTCTAGAGCTAGTCAGAACCTCAAACTATTCTGTTCATTACACAAATGAAGAAACTTCATTCTGGGGGTGGGACATGCTTTGGTAAAGATCTTATGCTTAGTAACAGAGCGAAACTGGAAGACAGTCACCATGGCTCTGATGTTGATGCTTTTTCTGCTGTACTACAGCCTGATCCAGATAATTATAGTTGTTTACTGAGCACCTACTATGTTCCAAAGATATTGTGTATGCTATCTCCAACCATCCCAACACCTTCCTTCCTAAGTAGGCATTTTGTATCCTTTTTGCAGATGTGGAAATGGAGGTTAAGAGAGGTTAATTAATTTTCTCAAGATCCTATGGCAAGTATGGAATGAGCAGGGAGTCACTACACTCCTCTCCAGGGGAGTAATTTTAGTGACAATAACTTAAATTGCAAAAGTCATTAATTGTTTGGACTGAAGGAGATGACTGGACTACCACTGTTTTAATTTCTCCTTATTCATCAACTATTTGGTTAAGGCTATGTCTATATTATTGGTGAGATAAACCTTTTATATAAGGCAATTCTACTTGGGCTGTGTCTGTAGTGGCTAATGTTAATAATGGCCATGGTATCTCACTGTTAAAATGTTAAAATGGTATCTCACTATGGCAACTATACTTCTACAAAGCCTTCAACAAATATTGCTATAAAATATTGTATAAACACAAACAGTGTTTTCTATATACTACTTTATTTTTTATGGAAATAATCTCTCTAAAATATACATATGTGTGTGTGTGTGTGTGTGTGTGTGTGTGTGTGTTTTATTTATTTACGCATGCATGCCAGGGAATTGTAGGCTGTGTAATGAAAAACTTTCATTCCAT